GGTTGGTGTTGCTAGATGGTGCACAATCAGTGGGGTGAGGTGGTGCTGATGGAGAGGGAAGCTGGTACGAGTCAGGTGGGAAGATGTGTAAGGACTCTGCATCTCCCCACCAAGCTTTTAGCAACCTGGGACTCTCTGGTTGGTGTCCCGCCAAGCTGGCAACCAGTGACTTCACTGGTTGCCAGGAGCTTGGCGGGAATCCTGCAAGAGCATCCCAGGTTGCTAAGATGGCCCTTACACATCTCCATGCCTGGCTCTTAGCAACCTGGAATGCTCTGGCCAGAAAGGGGGTGGCAAGCATGGTTCAAACATTGCCGCTCTGCATTCTGCCCTCAAAGTGACCCAAATAGATGCCACCTGAGACAATAGCCTCATGCAGCCCTGACCAGAACCAACGGAGAGGGTGAATCTCCCCAGCAGGGACAAGGTAATGAAAACTTAAGAGGGGCCTATCTCCTCCTTACCATAAAAACAATGTTTTGCTTAAGAATCACTTTAAAAATGATAATATTATATAGCTGATTAAACATTATACATGTCCATGAACTGCCACATACTGTTACATAGAATACAAAAAAGAAGACCACAGGACATGACTATGCCTGGACTCCACAGAGATTTATGAGTCCATGTCTCCATCCAGCACGACTCCATTATCACATGGTGATATTAATCCCAGCTTCGACAGGGTCAGCAAAAGTCTGCCATTATATCCGCTTAGCGAATTGCTAAAAGTGCAACCATTTTTTTTTATTGGTGACCTGTTCTCTATAATGATACTGACACTGGAATCAAGAATATATTTCAAACCACTGTTCATCAATTTGATTTGACCCTCATCTTAATCATTGATTAGCCGTTTCATGATTTATTATCCTTTTAACAAACATATCGATCCAGCCGATGTATTTTAAACATACCTGGTCAATATATTTTAAACAGAATCCAATATTGGCTACTTGAGACCTAATGAAAGATTATAGAGGGCAAATGGCTTTCTTTAGCACTTCAACTTGTTAACAATGGTCTGTAGCCTGTAAACCACTCCAAGGCTGGCTCTGGAGAACCAATGCTGAGATATCTAGAGGGGACATTTACCTAGGGCATATTTTCTGGGGATACAGAGGGGGCAACTGAGCCCATAAGGTCAGGAGGCCAAACCACAAAGCTGCTTTTAGTTATTAGCTCGCTGTGGACTCATGTAGTACCCTCCATGGGATTAAGCAGCTCTTTTTGATTCCTTCACAGCCCTTAATTTTTCTTATTTTTTGGTTTGGGGGCCTCTAGATTACTTATATAGGCAAAAAATGCAAATTACTATATACACATCTTATTCTTTTCCTTATTTAGAGGATTTGTTTTTATTGTGACATATTTAAGGTAGTTTAAGTGACCCTCTCATTAAAAAAAGCCTCAAAGAAGTGTGCCTGTGAAAAGAAGACTCTCAATACTTACCTTTCCCATTGCCCACACCACCAGATTGGTACTCAACTCAGTAAAATCTTCTGCAGAAGATCGTAAGGGAACCAACACGTGTTGATCTCTTGGGTCACCCACAGCTCTCATTGGTTTCTCCTTTTGACCTCCATGGAACTACTGTGTGTTGTAATGGGTGGTGGTCAGAGGGAGGAACAAATGAGCAACCGATGGACTTCAGCAAAAGAGTTCTCCTCAATGGATTGACGTTCCGGTGCCGTTTGCTTTGGGAAATGTGAGTACTGAGAGTCTTCTTTTACAGGAACATTTCTCTGGGGCTTTTTTTTATTTTTTGACAAGATCGCTTAGGTTTATTTCATTTATTATTTGTCTTTGTACCTGTCATGGGATTTTTTTCATCCTTGTTGCTTTATATATTTTTTACTGTACCTTTTCATAGTTTTTTTATTTTCTTTGAAAAAAAAAGTAAAACAATGAGGCTAATGAGGGGCTGTTTTTTTGGCACAGGAACAGGTCCAAGATAGTTGCAAGGAGCTTCCATAACCATCAGGAGATATTTAAAGCCAACTGGACCTTAAAAACCACCTTAAAGTGTATAGACAATTATTTTTCAGTTTTGGGTGCTCGGACTTCAAAACTTGTCCACTCAAATGAAAGGAGAGACCATAATCATTTGATGAGCTGACTTGTTCTGGGGAAACTGCTTACATAAAAGCAAGGCTTCCCTCCGGTGGGTACTCAGAATGTGATTCAAAGCATAAAAATACAATAGGACCAAATGGTGATGCAGTCCAAACTGGTTTAACTGTTAATGTTGAGCTTCAGTTTTGGGTCCACCATGAGTGTGTGAAGAATACAGGTGAAACTCGAATAATTAGAATATCGTGCAAAAGTAATTGCAGTAATTGCTGCAAAAGGGGCCCAAATCAAGTACTGAGTACATATGCATGCTTGGTGTACTTGTGACCACCTGGGGGCTTCACCAAGCTATTGATCTGGTTGACCATTGTCACCGAGACAGAAAATCCAGACATTTTGAGTTGCCAACAGAGCAATAGGTGAGGGAAAATCCTCCAAAGCGGACACCTGTTCCAGTGACAACTTTCTAAGAAGGCAATTCTGTTGACTTTGGAGATTTCCTCATATTTTATTTTGTCTCCAGGACAGGAAGTCAAAGGAAATCTCCCCAGCTAGACACAGAGAGCCAAAAATAACCTATTACGGGTTACCCCTTTCCCTACTTTATATAAAACTAAAGATTTGTCACTGGAACAGGTGTCCCCATTGGAGGATTCTCCCTCACCCCTTGGTCTGATGGCAACTCAAAATGTGTGGATTTCCCCTCACTTTCTGTCTCGGTGAGACAATGGTCAGCAGAACAAAAGGAGGGGTGAATCCTTGTAGTAGGGACAAAGACACCAATAAAAACTTGACAAAGTGCTTGAAATGGTGAACCTGAAGTTCCTCCCTAACTTTGATCATCACCATTTAGTTTGGCACTCCTATTGTTTATTTATTCTTTGAGTCACATTCTGAGGAGCCACCAGAGGGTACTCATGGTGGATCCCAACTTGGAGCTCATCCTTAACTATGAACAATTAAAGCGGTTTGGACTCCATCACCATATAGTTTGGCACTCCTATTGTGTAATTATGCTTTGAGTCACATTCTGAGTACCCACTGGAGGGTACTCCTGGTGGATCCCAACTTGGAGCTCATCCTTCATTATGAACAATGAAAGCAGTTTGGACTCCATCACCATTTGGTCCTATCACTTAATACATTTTCCCCATTGACTTCAAAGCATTTTGCCAAAATTTCCTTATTTTTGGGGAAAATAAAAGCTCTCATTTCCCCTCATCCCTAATGAGAAGCCATTGCTTGACCCTCGAGTAGCATCTTAGGGGGTTTGGCAGCACATTTAAAATTACAATTGGTGGGCGAGGAGGTCCACAAGTACGAAGTTCTCTTGATGTCCACCATAGCCCATCTCTGTGTGTTGACAGTGGAGGATTGTGTTGCCCTTGAGGACTGGAAGGGTGACGGAGAAGACGTGAGAGATGATAGGACGGTATCGCCATGCGGCTCTCATAAAACAACAGTTTATAAATGAGCATTCTTGGGCCGGGGTTGAAGCTGAACTTGATTATATTCCAGAGACAGATCACAAGGGCTCCATTTAAATGGTAATGTTATCCCTCTCTCCTACCCGGTCTAGATAAACTGTCACTGAAGAGAAGGGCTGTGAGATTATGGGGTTTGATGTGCACTTAACGCAGCGTTGCATTTTTTTTTTTTCGGACGCAAGTGAAAAAAAATAAACTCGATGGGCCCGCTCCCCAGTTCCAACCCACTGAGAAAGCTTTTACACTGTTTATATGATGTTAACACACGTTTCTAAACACTTCCCAACGTATACATTGTTTGCGAGCGTCATGTGGTTTAACTTAAGATCCGGTGCGTACCTAAATTCCAGCGTCGCTTCACTGTCCCGGCTCGGTTCTCCGGAACACCTTGGCCCTAAAGGGGCTTCGCTGACTGGTTTGGTCCATGCTTTTGGTCAAACTATTAAAGCTGAACTCCAGGCAGATTTAAAAGACTCATATGTCTTCACTAATATGTCATTACACTTATTATCTCCAATGGAAGCTGTGTAAGTACCCAAATCTGACTTGGCATCAGCCTCTTGCAATTCCCCGTACAGCAGAGCTCAGACAGGGAGAGAGAGAAGAAGCACAAGGAGCCAGGTTCTGGTGCTAACGAGGAGCATGTTGAGAGGAGGAGAAAGCCTAGTGACAAAAACATTAGCTCAGCACAGTGCTGCTTCTCTTTTTACTGTTCAGTCACAGGTTTGGGGGGCGGGTCCAGGGTGACCTGGGCTCATAGAAAGTGGGTTGAAAGATGCTGGCCACCAGACTGAGGGCATCTAGTGGCAGACAAGAGTACAGCGGGGGGGAGGCACACCAAAAAAAATCCTGATTTTGATAAAATAGGGAATGGTTAGAACCGCTGTTAGTACCTGAATTTGATTTGGT